ATTCGTAACTACTTGAAATACTTCATAATCTGAAATTGTAAATGAATTTGGAATTCCAATGTTAGAATAAGAATTTGCACAATAACTCCAATTGTTACTACTATCTGGGACGTATAAATCGTGACCACCACCGAAAGTTGGACCACAATTATTATTGCAAAAAATTGCACGATTACTTGTATTAACACGTCCTAATGTTGAATTTTTAAGATTATTAGGATCACTTATTGAAAATAAAAAGCTATCTGATGTATTTTTATAATGCCAACCAAATGAATTACTTGAATTATTTGAATTATTTGAATTATTCCAATCAAGTGGATTATAACCACCAACTAATATTTTCGTATTTAAAATTTTTCCCACAACGATTGTTGCACCTTTGTTATCACATTTTTGATGAAATGTAAAGGATGAAAGACCATCTCTACTACTTCGAAAAAGAAGATTAAAATTATAATGAATTTTCTTTGAATTTTTATCATCAGAGATTTTTTTATCTATCCAAGTTGTAAATAATGACGTAATCTTTTTATTAATTAAAACCGAGTCGATTTCTGAGTTGCCCAATCTGACTTTAAATGGTTGATAGTGTGGTACAGCACCTGAAACTAAATAACAACGTAATATATCCTCGATTAAATCATCAGGAAGGAGGTTCTTAAATGGCCATACTTCAAGCATGAATTCTTCACGATTTATCTGATGAAATCTAACAAGTTGAATTAATCCTTGTAAAGTTTTTTCTAATGTTTTAAAGTCTTGAAGAGTAAATTTTTTCACATTAATTTGAAGTGATGGATGTTGAGCGATTCCCCATTTAATTAATCGTTTCCAGATATCACTTTCTTTCATATCGAGATCATCACGTTTAAGAATCAATGCTAATACATCTTTTTCTAATGGAAGAAATTTGTCAGAATTAAATATCAAGTTTGGATTTTCACAAATAGTATCTAAAGAAGCTTTTCTAAGATCATTAAATGATTCATGCCGGATAATAAAATGAAGTAATTTAACGGGATCTTGACGTAAAAATTCTTTGCAATGTTTAGTTAAGGTAATTAAAGAAGCTTTTTTAAGATTATCGAATGAGTTATGACAAGTAATAAAATGAAGTATTTTAATGAGATCTGATTGTAAAAATTTGAGACAATGTTGAGCCAAGAATTCTTGAACAGAATCAATAAGTCTTTGAATACCAAGTTCATCAACGGCAACTAAAAGTTCAAGGATTATTTCTTTTTTTTGACGTTTAAAGTCTACTATTCCACAATAAAGATACCTATAT